CCTTGTTTGCCCAATGAATGTCTACCATTCGGCCCAGCCCGGCCCGACCCGACCCCTATATGATCGGGGCAGGAAAACGAAACATGTCTTGGGGGTATTTATGGCGTCTATTGCAAACGGCTAGCTTGAAAAAGTTATAACTAATAATTCAACTTGAATCGAAAAATTTAATTTCAAATGTATGTTAACCCACTGACAACTTGTTTGCGCTAGCCGTGTTACGAGCTACGGATGACTTGTCAAAGTTTGCCTGCGCCCTGCCCAATCATCTCACCGTCGTCACCTAAAACAACAAAACAAATCAACATTCAAACGTCATGTGTAGGAAGTCGGCGCACTCACTTTGTCCCCGCGAAACAGGCACGCAAATTATCCGAATGGTTTATTTGTTATGTCTCATCTGTTGCCGTTTTATGACTTGCAGGCCCGCTGCTGGCGTGCGTTGTGATCGGCGCCACCGGCCAGATCCTCAAGGCGGTGTCGCCCAAGTTCGGCCTGCTGGTGGCCGAGGAGGCCAACCGGAAGGGCTACCTGCGCTCGATCCACTCCAGGGTCATCACCAACGCCGAGGAGATCGCGTTCTACGGCGGCCACAAGGTGGGTTGTGCGTGGCGGGTGGTGGGGGGCCGCCCGTCGGGGTAGGCAACCACCGCCGCGGTGGACACGCGTGAGTCCGTATTGCCTACCTACCAGGCGCTAGGCCTGGGCAGTTGCAATTGACTACCTACCAGGCGCGAGAGTTCCTGTGCCACCGTCTTGGAGCATTTTTTATTTTTTTTCAAAACTATTACGTTCTGGGGGCCTTGACGTGCAGCGAAGTTTGTACACCGACCGTCGGCTGACCGAATCACGCTTATTTCTGTTTCAGGTTGAGCTGACCCACCTGCAGAGGGCCTACCAGACTCTAGTCCGCCAGAAGAACTACGTCTTCCAGCAGCGCCTCTGGTACGTGATGTTGGAGCAGTTCCTCATGAAGTACGTCTGGAGCGGCACCGGCATGGTCATGGTAGCGCTACCCATCGTCATGGGCACGCGCCTGCAAGGTAGGCATTATTCATCCTCGGTAAAGGTCCAAGCTGAATACATTTACTTTCAAATCAGTTCCATGGGAATTACGATTTTCTTAGAAGGCAAACATTTGTTTTTCAGTTGGAACAGAAACCTCAGACAGTGGGGTGAGCGAGCGCACTCAGTACTTCACCACAGCTCGTAATCTTCTGGTGTCTGGAGCTGATGCGGTTGAGAGGCTCATGTCCTCCTACAAGGTAAGTTTCTATAACTCTAGCTTAAATGCTACCTCAATACTTTTTACATGTTTTTATTTTTCCTATTTCAAAATTTTCCTCTCAACTTTACAGGAAGTTGTTGAATTGGCCGGTTACACATCTCGTGTTGGCGAGATGTTGGATGTCTTTGGAGAAGTTGGTGAAGGCCGTTACAAGCGGACCACCACCTCAGCAACTAAACAAAATTCTAGAGGGACTGATAGACTAGAGTTCAAAGATGGGCAGCCTGTAGCAAAAGGTAAGTGATTACATATATTT